TTAAGAATCATGGAAATAAAAGGGATGAAATCTGCATGGAAGTAAATGTAAATTTTCCCACTGGCTTCAGGAGGGTCAGGATTTCATCTGACGTTTCAATATGGAGTGCAATGACAAATTTATAAACTTGTGTTTAAAAATATTAAACCCCATTTCACTACATAGGACTGATAGAAATGGCAAGCACAGAGGAAACTAATGCTCCAAGATAAAGCATGCCCTCAAACCTTCACTTGCTATATCAACTGCGCCATACTACTTCACATAGCTACAATTACCTACTTCTGGAAAAATTGCTTATAACAAACTTGGCCACTCGCAACTTCACTACTCTGATAATTTTGAGGTTGTTCAGTGGCTGCTAAAATCCTTGGGTCTAGTGGCCATATGTTACTAGTGATGTCAAGGCTGATTGAGCTACTACCGGATAGAGATTACACAAAAGCTGTCTTAGTTTTCAGTTATCTAGATAAAAGAAGCAAATCCACCCATTTGCTATATCAGGGGCAGATGACCGTTTTGCGGGGCCCTGGGCAGCATAATTCCACGGGGCCCCCCTTTGCCATGGCGCATGCGCAGTGACGCCATGCACATGCGCAGCAGCGCCATGGCACATGCACGGGGCTTTCTGAAGCGCGGGGCCAGGGCGGCCGCCCCGTTCGCCCTGCCGTATATCCGCCCCTGTGCTATATCTGCTGTTAAGGAACATTTGCCTTCTGGGATAGTTACTAGGACAAGACAAACGCTTATGTGTTTACATTCCGTACAAGGTCCACATGCACAAACTTGTCCCAGTAATGGATGTATTAAGGAGATGTGTTGAAAAAGTATCTAAAGATCAGAGTAGCACCTGGATTTTTACAAATGGTACCACAGAAAAAAGTGATGATTATAGAGGTTAGAGTCAGACGCAGCCACGCAGGGGATACATGCAGGCTACAGAGATGAAAATGCATTTTGCATTGAAAAGAAACATTTAAATTTTATTCACTGAAATATCATCCTTCTAGCAAGAAGAAGAAATTATTCAGACCAAAATGCCTGATTAGTGTATACATGCCATTGTACATGAGAAGTTCAGAGAGGCAATTAGCCTTTCTTGTATGGTCCTTTCACTTCACTACATGCCTTCAGAGTACTCTGAAATTATAAAATTTAAGTAAGGAATTAAAATTTGTTTTCACTCAAACAATAAAACAAGATCACAAACATTTTCCCCTATGGAAGCTGTGACATTACAACGCATGTACTTCATTATGATATGACTATACATAGCTAAAATATGTTTTATGCAAAATGGGCTGTGTGAGATATCATTGGAAAGATTATGATTTACTGAATATGATTATGCTAAAGTTAGTAATATGGACTATATAAACCATTACAACTGGGTATGTGTTTGAGAGACACCCACCAAAAAAAAAAAAAAAAACCCAAGGTCCTCAAACTAGATGGGCCATTAGGGAGAAACCACAAGATTATGAAGCTACTAATCTCTCTCCTTCCTGAGAAGTGTCTTGGGAAATAGGTGTAACACTACTAGGTCTAGTGGTCCTGTCACCTGTTATTAAACACCACCTTGGACTTCTGGTAATTTTCCACTAAAAGAAGGAGAGGTCTGCCTTATGTAAATCTTATTTTAAGCTGGGAATAAGTTGATCAAGGTTCTCCCCTTGCCTCTCCACCCATACAGACACTGAAAAACAGAACTGAACTGAGGCGGCAAGGTAGAAAAGTTGGGCCTAAGCTGGAAAGGTGTCTAACTTACGAATAATAATACCTGAAGAGTTAAGATGAAGTTCAGTGCAGCTTCCTTTCAAGACTTTCTGTAATCTGCCTGCAACAATATCTAGGATGAGGAATTACTATTTGCAACCAATTTCTTTGGTGAATCAAGCTTAGTTTGCAAGTTTTATTTGTTTAGTGATCTGCTTTGTTCTCTTTACTACCTCTTTAACCATTTAATATCCACCTTTTGCAGTTAATACAATTATTTCTTATGTATACTATAGCCCCCTTTGTATAATACATAAATGGGGGGGGGGGGGGGGGGGAAGGGAGAAAGGCTGTGCATTCCTTCCTCCACATTCAGGGAGAAGGAGGATTTCATAATATCCCTTGGGTCTGCACTCCCGAGGAGGTGGATACCTGAGTGCTGGGGAGTCCTTTATGAGTCTTCTCAGAGGTGAGCACAGTGTCTGATGTTCTGCAGTTGAGTGTGCAGGCTTAATAGCCTGGCTCAGCAACACAAGCACAAAGGATGAACAGGCTGCCACAACATGATCTCAGCACATCAGGTGGAATCCCAAAGTCACAGAAGCTTCCTAATATGTTGAGGTCTAATAGTGATAGAATCTCACCGTTTCTGTCAATTATATGTTCACTTTTCACAGCAATGAACTAATTTATAAATTTCCATCGATGGTCATTCGCCCCATTAAGAATCCCACATTCTTTAGAAGACTTAGCAATTGATACAGGGGTGTACAATTTATTTATCTGAAGTGTGTTACTGGATGGATGCTTTTATTTTTTTCCTCTTTAGGAAAGTAGGCTATTCTATTATCTCCTTCCTTATAATTTTTAGGAAACCCATATCTGAAGGACCCAAGTCAGTGTCTTAAAATGCTGTAGCAAGGAAAACCAATTCTGAGGTGGCTAATAGGGAAATAAGTTACATCCAAAAACTGATTGGTCACTTTGTTGTTGGTACAAATTACTCCTTCATTTGTTGTGGGTAGACACAAATGTTACAAGCAATAGAGAAGATTGTCTGCAGATTTTCAGCTGCCTAATTTTCTGATTCATATCTTTAACAGATATTCAAGGCAGTAGACAGGCATTACATAATCTTAGAATGCTTTAAAACACATCATACCATTTTGTATCAGTTATGTTAGAGGAACAGTGTACTAAATGTGTTTTCATAGAAGCATAGAATACTAGGACTGGAAGGGACCTCGAGAGGTCATCGAGTCCAGTCCCTTGCCCTCATGGCAGGACCAAATACTGTCTAGACCATCCTTGATAGACATTTATCTAACCTACTCTTAAATATATCGAGAGATGGGGATTCCACAACCTCCCTGGGCAATTTATTCCAGTGTTTACCTACCCTGACAGTTAAGAACATTTTCCTAATGTCCAACCTAAACCTTCCTTGCTGCAGTTTAAGCCCATAAACATAAAACATATTGGCTGTGTCTAGACTGCATCCCTTTTCCGTAAAAGGGATGCAAATTAGACACATCTCAATTGCAAATGAAGCAGGGATTTAAATCCCTCCCATTTCATTTGCATAAACATGGCTGCCGCTTTTTTCCAGCTCAGGGCTTTTCCGGAAAAAAGCGCCAGTCTAGACGGGGATCTTTCGGAAAATAAAGCCTTTTCCAAAAGATCCCTTATTCCTCTTAAAAAAAGGTTTTCCGTTAAAAGCATTTTCGGAAAAGCGCGTCTAGATCGGCAGGATGCTTTTCCGCAAAAGCACTTTTTGCGGAAAAGCGTCCATGGCCAATCTAGATGCGGTTTTCCGCAAAAAAGCCCCGATCGCCTTTCTTTTTGCAAGAAAGCTCTAATGGCCATTTTAACCATAGGGCTTTCTTGCACAAGAAATTCACGTTGCCTGTCTACACTGGCCTCTTCTGGAAGAGCTCTTGCACAAGAGGGCTTATTCCTGAGTGGGAGCGTCATAGTTCTTGCGCAAGAAGCCCTGATTTTACAGTAGAACTTCAGTTTACTTGCGCAAGAACACACGGCCAGTGTAGACAGGCAGCATGTGCAAGAGCAGCTGTTTTGGTGCAAGATCGCGCCAGTGTAGACACAGCCTAAATGTAGTAGGGACCAGGTGGCTCTTACTACATGTACAACACAGAGCCGCAGCATCCCGGACCCAGCATGAGCCAGGAAAGAGCACCAACCCTTATTGACTCATTGTATAGTCCATACAAATTGGCTACATGATTAGCCAATTACCCACCTCCTGACATCCTTAGCTCAAACGAACACTGATACAGAGGCAGCAGCATGGGGGCAACAGCTAGATCCCCCTGCCTGGGGCTGCAGGCAGGTGCCAGCTTGGAAGCCAGCTTCTGGGCTATGTCTACACTGGCGCGATCTTGCGCCAGAACTATGCAATGAGGCTAAGCGTGGAATATCACCGAGCCTCATTTGCATATATAATGAGCTGCCATTTTTGTGGAAGAGGCTCTTGCGCAAGAGGGAGCTGTCTACAATGTCCCTTCTTGCATTGCCGCTATGCTAATTATTTTCAGGAATAACAGCATTGCTCAAGAGAGTTTTTCCTGCGCAAGAAGGGGCAGCGTAGACAGCTTCTTCTTGCGCAAGAACCTCTTCCACAAAAATGGCAGCTCATTATATATGCAAATGAGGCTTGGCAATATTCCACGCTTAGCCTCATTTGCATAGCTCTCGCCAGTGTAGACATACCCCTTGAGCGCACCGGCTGCCACCCTGCACAGCAGGTCATGTCTGAGGTTTCCAGCAATTACAGGTTTACCTCATCACCTGCTTTTCACAGGGCTAGCGCAGGTTGTCAGACGGTGGCTGGGCGGGCCTGGTCCGTGGGTCCAGGGACTAGCAGCCCCTCACAACGCTGGCTGGTTTTGCCACTAATCACTGAGAACGCGGACGACGGGGCGCCACCTAGAATCCCTGCATGAAAAGAGCGGGAAACACAGGGGAGACCCGCTCACGCCGGTGCGACGACAGAAAGTGAAACTCTCTGTTTTTGTGACCTTTGAGGTTTCTGTCATGCATACATGAAATTCGGTGCTACTGCTCGGGACTTGCTCCCTTTGCTACCTGGTCCATGGGTTGCAAATTCCGAGGGACTGGGTATTGTGGTCGAAAACACTCACAATTTGCTCCCTCCTAACGGACTCAGGGGATGTTGGTGTTTTGCCTTTTATTTTGTATTATACACAAGAACTCAAATACTGAAAACTATATTTCAATTTTTTAAAAATTTATTATTTCATGGTTATCTAAATCTATTTACACATCTTGTCAACTTTATGAAGAAGAACTGCACTATGAACATTTTTGGCACTTGTATTCTGTCTTCTCATCATTGATCATTTCTTCAGTGATTCCTTCCGGAATGCACGGCATATGTGCCCACCTCTTGCAGGAATCACACTGGACCTTTGATAAGTGACAGTTGAGAAAAAGAAATCACACAACTTATAATGTAACACATACTTTCAACGCACTCATGGGATTCCTTCCTCATGTAAGCATTTCCTAAGATATTCCTATCAGAGGTGTTTGAAAACAATTTTGTCGGAGGGACACATCATGGTTCACAAACTGTATTCAGGGACATGTACTGAAAGCTTTGACTCCTTAAACAGTATGTGCCCAGCCCCGATTCTGCCCCCTCTGAAATCACATGCCCTGACTCCCAACCTCAGAACTCCCTCCCATCCAACCCCCTCCGGTCTGCTTCCTGTCCGTCCAATGTGACCCCCGACCCTTGTTCAACCCTCCTGCTCTCTGCCCTCTGAGCAGCAGGACTGGCAGCAGTGCTTCATGGCTGTAACGAGCCATTACAGTGCAGTCCCTCCGCCTAGAACGCTTTTGGCAAGGTGAGCACATGTGGCGGGGGAGGGTGGCCAGAGTTGGAGGCTCTTCCATGACCGTGATCTCTAGGGCAGGGCAGGATGGTGCCACATTCCATATGTGTCCTGCGTACCGCAGTTTGCTCACCTCTGTACTACGACCATGATGGAAATGTTTACTGTTGTGTATTTTTCATCAAATTCCATAATCTTAAAAAGATTAGGCATGTGTTATATACAAAGCTGTATTATCTTACCATAGTGCATTCCTCACTTTTCTTTTCACAATTGATCCGATTGCAATATATGCAGAATTCTTCTATCCCTTCTGAAAAATAAATACAGAGCAATGAAATGCAAATTTTGTTATGACCAACACTCTAAATGCTACTACAGAGTTATTAGTTACTGTAAAACTATTAAACTAGTCACTGGTTTTAAGCTAATTTTTTTTTGACTAATATTTTTACAAACTGTAACTACATTACATCTGGATATAAAAAAACGAGTTTATTTATTTAACTTTTCAAACAATAGTAACGATTCTCCCAATCTAATTTTTTGGATATTTACAGATATTATTGTTGAATGCTCAGCATTACATAACCAAAACTGTGAGATATACCACTTATGGGGTATTAGGTTGACGCTGTGTTACGTCACATATTTCAACTCTTCCATTTAACTTCACATGTGCCTACTGATTCTATAGAGCATGTGAAAAAATTATTACCTGACTCCTTCATTAGAAGAATTGCTATGTGTCTTCTAAACTCATTATTTGCCTCCTCTGATATGTCTACAGAACTGACGTCTTTCAGCTGCAAATACATTTCTGCAAACTAAACAAGACTTCTGTTTAGAAAACATTTCATAATTACCATAGTAAGAGAGTGTGCTGTGACGGCATGACAGTAAGAAACAGACACTGGTTCAGTCACGTACATGGCTGACCATACAGTGCTGCTGTAGTACTGCTTTCTGTTTTCACGTCGCTGACCCCTTTACCTCTCCTATCCTCTGTGGCCCTGCCATGGTATCCAGCAGGGCCACCCACAGTGGGGGAACAAAAGGTGACCAGCAATTTAAAAGGGCATGTGGGACCTTGGCACCATAGCCTCAGCTGTCAAAGTGATTGATGGTTGAATCTTGTCCTCACAAGACAACAGCACTTATGAAATCCTAGAGCACAGCCCACACACCTTGGCAAGGATGCTGTTGCAGTGCAACCAGTATTCTTTTGCATTTACTACCACCTCTGCTATTGACACATAAATATCAAACAATACAGACAATGTTTTCTTACTAACCTTTAAGATGAGTGGACCGCAGTTATAGCCATCAATTTGTCTATTATGACTAACAATTTGACACTTCCAATTTGATGTTGAGTTGCTCTTTTCTCCTTTGATGAAGTTTCTGAAATATTAGTGGAAGCCATTAGTGGACTGTGCAGAACAGCTATTTTTTCTTAATTTTTTTTCTTTCATTTTCTGTATATTGATTAAAATGTTTGTGAGCTCTCTCTAGTTATTGATACTCATGACTTATTTCTCATGTAATACATACACATACACATAAACACTTTTGCTTTCAGATTTCTCTGTCACCAGTACAGACTGTATCACCTGCTTTGCTGTGCCACATGTGGATAACACCTTCACACTCATGCATCATTCAACTGTCTCATGTCCAAATGCTATGAATTAGTAAGCCATACTCAGATAACATAAGTTCACTGCTATTACATCAGTAAGCACATTTAGTACAAGCACATGCTCTTTCGATTTTTATTTGCAGAGAACAGGAAGATATTACGCTCACTATTGTTACATTACTTTAAACTATTTACACACCAACAGTGTAGGATCACTGTGAACACAATTATCTTAGCATTCACCTCCAGTTCCTAAGAAATTTTCTTTCATAGCTCATCTCTTCACATAATGGATCAATTATTACCAGTTCTTGTGTATCCATCTGTGCTATCTGTAAGTGTAAAGAACATTTACAAGTTAGGTTGATAATGTGAAATTTAAGCTGTTTATTACTGACTTACCCAAAACAAAACATTCACATATTCTCATTTGTAATCACTAACACAAAGTAGAAAAGCATATTCAATGATCAAACAGTTACTAACTTGATTTGTTCACGTACATTTTGATACAATTTCACATTAACTTGTGTTGTTTAAGAAACACGGCTCTCGGAATAGCGACACTCTCATTCCACTTTCATTTCCAGGCATGAACTAAGATACACAGTTGAGGACATCAGACCACTGCCACCCAGCTGTGTTACCACCACTTACATAGTACCACTTTCATTCAACATATTCCAGAAGTGAAATAGAAAGCATCTTACCGCAAGAACCCAGTGATTTGGTGCGTTGTAAGGAAGTAATATTATATCATGATGAAGAAATCTGCTCTGTAATTAATTTTTAAAAATTAGGATCAAAATTAAAGTTGAAAGATAAGCCAACTATGACATGTAGATTATACGGTCTTAATTTATTAACATGGATTACTATTACTTTAGGCATTACACATCACAATTAGCATTGTCATTTAACATTCATAGTTATTTGTAGTGTCTTAATTAAGAAGGTGCTCTGCTCATGCTAGGTAGGAAATCTTGTAAAACTTTACCTTTGATTTCAGGTTTCTTTGTCTGCCTAACAGAATCTGTGTGGCAACTACTGTTGAGATGGCTTCTACCTGTTGTCAGACAACCAAGATCTTACTGCATTATTAATTCATTAATGCACATAAAGAACATAAGAATAGTTTTCAGATTATTTCTATCATCAAAAAATTAGTAGTACTTAGGGACCCTTAGACACCAAGTCATTGTGGTGTGTAGCTTCTGTTGAGTATTTTCTTCACTATGCTGTGTATAAGTGAAAACATAAAGATAATGAATTTCACATACACATCCATGCAAGGGATCCATACTGTTATCAATAAGGTTATGTACAAGATTCATGTAAAAAAAAAGATTTGTAAACAACATATATTGTCTTACTTAATGTAAGACATTATTAATTAGATCACATATTAGTATGTAATTAATGTACCAGATGAAAATTATAGACAAACTACTGTGGCCATCAACATATCAAGTATTATATGTCAGATATTCACCTCAAAATGCATTCCAATACATGTTTTTTTGCATTAAATCATCGGAAATGTTGCAATGTCAGCTATATATTGATATTGCCAAAGTATTTGTAAACCTATATTTTTTATTACATTCAAATGACTGTTAATTAACTGATACAATTTAGACAGTTATATAGTATCACACTACATGGCCTACCTTTCCCCCCGATTTCTCGACTAGACAGCTGAAATACGCATCAATAACCTACAACACATGATGACAGAAAGGGAACATTGTCAATAATATTAGATTCATCAATTATCTTTCCATACACTTGTAGTGTTAATTAAGAATACCTCATCACATATCCAGCTTCTTGGTTTCAGGCAATGAAATGAAGTGCCATACAATTTGTAATTTTTCACTTTGGCCTCCAGTCTCTTTTTCTGTTTGCCATTCATTGCAAATTTTACTGGAAAGACAAGAAACACCCATTACTTGCAGACAATTTCAGTCTCCTTTTTCTCTGTTTTCATAGTGATTTTTTTTTAATTTGAAAGAATATTCTAACACACTTCATACATGCAATTGTGTTTAAAAACTGTTTTAGAAATGTGAGTTAGTTAACAAAGTACCTTTCAGAAACCATTTTTTGTCTTCCACATCCTCCATAATCATGTCACCAAAATCATATTCCTCCTGCATTTTATCATTTGGAGGAAGATCCTCCCCTATCTCCTCTTCTTCCGTTGCTGTGTTTTTTATATCTTTCAATGGTTGAACAGGATAATTATGCGATTCAGGCCCATCCACTTTTCGAATCTTTTTGAAGGTATTTGTGGTCCCATTGTTACCAAATGTGATTTCAGTTACAACGCTTTCCTCTGATGTGCTCTTGGGAGCTAATTGTGGAGGCTCTTTAAACGGCTTTAAATGTGCAATGCTGTACTTGGTTCCTAACATTTTTCCTGACATGTTTTCTAATTTCACTGTCTTACCCTCAATACTTGTAATTTTGTATGGTCCACGATATGTAGGTTCTAGTACTCCACCTTTTCTTGTTCTCCTCCTAGCATTCAATAACAGAACAGAGTTCCCAACATCAAATTTTACTTCACCGTATTTTGAGCTTTTCCTTTTCACATAATGTCTCTGTTGCTTTTCTTGTGCTTTAGAGATGTTACTTAAAGCCATTTCAATGTCAGCCTCATGTCGCAATTTCTTTTCTATGTCATACTCTCTGCAGTAATCTTCAAGGACTGTATTCATATCTGGGAGCTTAGAAAAATAATAGAGAAGGGGTTGTATTCGTACCCTGAATTCACACTGAAAGACATATGCACATGTAAGCTGCAGGTGATATCACAGAACGTACTGTGGTTTCAACATTATCATAATGAAGACAGCTCTTTTTAAAAGATATTACTAAATAAGGAAGGAAATATAGCTACCATAGCTACTATTATTATTGTGTATGGAATGGATCCTGGACTATAGGGATTGCCCGGCCTCATCCCTACCCTCCACGATTATTCACTGACACTGGGAGACAACAGACACTGTGCAAGGGAGGGTTGCTTCTCCTCACCTCCATTGATGGCTTATGATGACATTGGCACAGGAGGCTGTGACCCTTTTCTCTAGAAAATTAATGGCTACATGGTGGGTAACAGATAGCCTCCGTGGCTATCAAAATCTGCGCTGAAATGTGGGACACAGTGAATTAATGACCTATCTTTGTTACAACTGATAAATAATGTGTCTGATTAAAAAATGCACCTTTATGCTTCTCAAGCTGTTATCCACATGTAATTTCTTTTTGTGTTTCTGGCAAGTCGGACATCGCGCAACCTAGTTTGGATGGAATAATACGATCACATTACGTTTTCCTTAGATCAGTAGTACTCCAAGGGAACAGAGTTCACCTTTCCACAGCTAATATATATTTTTTAATTTTCTAAATTATGAACTTGTATTTCAATAGTCAATGTCTTTCTTCCTGAATTATTGTCATTACTTTACGTACCCAATCGGCAATGTCTCTCGTCATCCCTGGCCAATAGTATTTTGAAGTCAGTATATTCCTAGTTTTGAATATTCCTTCATGTCCACCCATGAAACTGTCATGATACCTTTCAAAAAGTGTCAGGGCTTCTTTCATGGTATGCACAACCTTTCTTCCTTTGGCTGAATGGTACAATGTGCCATCTGTTGAATAAAGAACATGGATCAAAGAGGATGAGTAAGGTGATTGCCTGCTGCAACAACCAATGTTACATCTCCAATCAGCATCTTCCCCTGTATCCCATTTCCTGTTCCACCTTGGCTCCTTGGCATTCTGCCTGACCCACAACTACTTTACTCAGTTTCAACCCAACTAATGCAAAACACAGCCCTAGAACCGTAAACGTGCAGTCCCTGTGTCACAATGGCACTAGGGCTGTATGACTGAGTCAGATCACCTACAGCATGTGGGCTTCTGGGGTAGTGGATGTCATGTCTTTCTTAGATGAACATGATCAAGGTGCTGTAGCTTCTCCTGCCCCACCCCTCACTTATGCTGTAGATGTGGTCTGGAATAAGGGTTCCCCCTGCTACTGCGCCGATTCATCACGGGCTGTATTGTGTGCGCCGTGTGATTTCTTTCCATGACCCAGCCACTCGTTTGAAGTTTTCCCCCAACCTGCCCAGGCCTATGCACAGTAGTCAAAGTGGCTACTCTGCAAAAGATGAAGACAACATGATGAAATCAAGTGTTGCATTTAAGATATAACTTGTTATTAGCAACGGTATTACTAAATTATACAAGACACGCATATCAAAGAAATCTATACACTGTACAGTTCGTAATTGTGGGAGTACAAGGTGTGACTTTCAGTATATGGTTAGGAGTATTTATTTCTGTTTTGTAAATTAGAAATCATTGCTCACTGACCATATAGTGACTGTTGTTGGTGTTTGCAGCACAAAGGAGAATATTCATAAGAAATGAAGCACAGTTATAAGTTTAATTTTAAAAGAATTATAATTCATACTACTTTGTAAGGTAACTGACCAATATGTTTCATGCATGCATAGATAGCAATAGAATTTTTCAATGAACTGAGAATGAAGCTAATGCTGATAATCACAGTAACAGTGAAGGTAAGGGAAACATTCCAAATAATCCCAGTGTTGGGACAGCAGTACACTCCTGTACAGCATGTCTCATCCATTGTAATGTCATTATTCTATTAAAAAAAGGATTCCTTGCCTTCCAAAGAGAATTTACTAGCAAATCGTCGAAGGTTGAATCGTCCAGCCTTATTCATTCCTTCAGGATATGTGTTACTCCTTATGTATGCCAAAACATTTTTAATTTTGTCCTCAAAACATTTCCCTGAGAATTGTTCACAACAGGAAACAGTTACTGAATTGGAAAATGGGAACATCAATCCATATAACAGTCAGTTCAAGTAGAAAATATGAGATGTACATTGCGTATATATAAGCAACGTAAGACAATATTAACAATGCATGATTGTCAGGCCAGTGACAACACAGACATAAATTAATTTCAGGAACATGCATAATTCTCCTGAATGTATGTGTTACCAAAGAAGGATGATTTCTATCAATGATGATCTAATGTTTTTTGAGATTGATATCGCCTAGATCCTTGGTTATAGTCAGTGCTCGACAAATTATTGAAAACCCTACTTGACAGACAAAAAAGGGACTGGCCACCCCAACAAAAAAATATTTACTTTAAGGTCATAAATTCATAATAAGAATAAGAACAGTAATTACTAATATGTTATTAATAAATATCCTCCATGTTAGGAATGCATGTATTATAAACTTCAACTTTTTCCCCTCTGCTGTCATGTCTCCTCCCCCTGTTCCAGCAGCTCCCCTAGTGCCTGCTGCCTCCTAACCCTTCAAACTCCTCTGTTGTCCTAACTCCTGTCCTTCTTGCTGCCCTGAGACTTACTGAGACCTGCCCCCCTGCACCAGACCTTCTCTCCCTCTGGGCCCACTCCTCAAGTAGAGACACTATGATCAATTGACCTACCCCTTCTCATCCCATCTCCTTAAACATGCCTCTACACACCTACCCTGACTCACTACTCTGAGGCTGGTCCCTCCCCTGCAGGTGTCTGCCCTTCTGTACAGAGTACAGAGATGCATGAAAAGAGTAGTTTCAGTTAATACACATTGAAACAGATGCTTGCAAATAAATGATTCATAAAGCAAATGAATGCACATTGAAACACTTTTTTTATGCATATTGGACAAGTAAACGTACCTTCCATAATGATGTGTGTAGTACAGGAAACTTTTTGCTTGGTGAAAAATCTGGGGAACAGATAGTGTTCGAAAAGTATTAAGGATGTGAAATCAAGAAACACCTAGAGCATATACATATGAGTATCACTTGATACGCAGTAATGCATTTAACCAATCCTTTAACAGAAATTTTAATTGTTAAGAGTAATATATTGTAACTAGATTGTCTAATAAATTGTATCACACTGTAATGGCTCTGAGGTTGGGCCCAGTATTGGCCCCTGTTACTGATATAGGACTGGGGTGAGCTTAGCAATTATATCAGTGTCCTGCTTGTGGTTACTTCTGGTATCCTAGGGATCAGATTTTTCAATGGTGATAATTCACCATCACACTGTAGCTCTCCTGCAGGAACTAGGTTACTCAGGGTTGTTCTATTCCAAACTTTGCAACACACACAGACACTGCCACCCACTAACATTGAACACCTCAGAGTATTGTGTAATCATCACTCTCAGTGGGACACATCATATATACATGGACTCAGCATGTTTAACAGCAATGCCACACTGCACCCACATGTGCCTGTGGATTCAATGGGATAGATAAGCCAGCACTTTAAGATGCAACCCTCATGTGCCCACTCCCTCCCCCCCCCTCCCCCGGTTCTTCACCCCATATCACCACTGACCTAGCTCATGAGGCTATGCTTACAGAGGTAGTTTGGGGTGGGGGAATGAGAGATAAAGAGAGAGAGGGAACTCACCACTCCGTGGAACTGTACACTGATCAGGGTTCCCAGATGGTGAAGGTATCTGTGTGTCCAGATGGTTGAAGGAAAGCACAGCAGAAGCCACAAAACGATCAGAAAGGAGATGGTGTTGCTCTCTCAATGAAGCTTCTCCAGTATAAAAGCCACAAAGCACAAAAGTTTCACCAAGGCAAAGAAAGACTAGTGATTGGAGAATACTTGTAACATAAACAGAGGTGTGACCAAAGGGAATGATCACCCCTGAATGTGGATGTTTTTCCTTGATGGAGGTCACAAAGCAGCTAGGCAGTTTTAGTGTTTTGAATGTCAATAGGATCGTTACTATCATTGGTAAGATACTGAAGAATGTGGATGTGAGCAAGACTGGCTTCAGAATCTGATTGATCTGAAATTCCACATCAGAAATGGCTTGTCTGGTTTCTGTATACCATAGTTCAGTGCAGGTCTGGCTTTGGAATAGCTGGTCTACATTCTGTATGCTAATGAGATGTCCCTCTGTCCCGTCTTCAATGTGAATGAGGCTGGGGTGTTTCAGTACTATTTTCACCATTGTCTGAGGAATTTTAGGTGTGTCTTCACAGCCTTTTCATTGCTTTGTCTTTCAGTGGAGTAGAGGCCTGAGAAAGGTGTCTGATTTTAAACTAAGGTGTCTCCCTGGCTGGAAAAAAACACAGGTTTGACATGTGACCATATTATTTTTCCCCAAGAATGACAGAGGTGATAGGTACCACCCCTTGGATCCTGGGATGAACCCCCTGTCCATTGTGGCAGACCTTAAGGGAGTGAGATGGCACTTTAGCTGAGAGTCCAGTGCAGTGCAGCGAACATCTCTTGCACTGCCCATTGTGACCTGTGGTGTCCGCATATCCTACTCGGTGATGGTGCCTCTCAGGGAATTCAGCACACTTGACTCTGCTGTCAGCACATTTGGTGGGGTACATTATCTCTGGTGCAAGGCCTCGTCATTCAGGCTTGTAATGTACTTGATCTTAATGTTCTAACGTACAGTCACCAGTGGGGAAATTTCCTTCCTTATGCACTACACAGGAGAAGTGGGTTAGTGAAAGTATCTAAGTCCTTGTTCACACTTACTTTTCCCAGAGACAACGTCAGTGTTCTTGCGCAAATAGTCACGGCCAGTATAGGCAGGGGGCAAGATTTTTTGAAAGAGCGGCTGCTTTGGAGCAAAATCTTGCCAATATAGACACAGCTTAAATGTTTAAAATTGTTATTTAAATTGTGAAAAGCTCAAAGGAAAAAAAACTCCAGCACTCTGTGGCACACGCTGGGATATCACAACCAGTGTATCTGGAATGTAAGGGAAGTTCAGTCTGTTCATCACAAGTCACAGGCCCTCTCTCAGGACCTGGCTGTACTGCGGGGATGCTGCGGCTCAGACATGTACTCTGGCGGTGGACACATCCTCTCATGCTCTAGGTGGCCTCCTGGCTGGGGGCATCTCCCGATGCTAGGACCACTACCCAGTGTCCCCCTGAATGAACCTGGCTCCAGACGGTTCCAGCTCCACCACTCTGCCTCATCTCCAGTTTCACTCTTCCTTAGCAATGCTTCTAATCTGCCTCTAGTTCCCTGGGATGCTTGTCTGGCCCCCCGGCTCTGGTTGTTGCAGCTTTGCTAACTGCACAAGTCTGCTCTGTGGCCTGCTTCTGTGACTCTGCTCCCAACACTGGCATGCTTCCTGTGCTGATTTTCTGGCACCTCTGTCTCTGCCCTGCTCTGCTCCACAGCTCAGCTCGGAGAAATGCTCTATGTAGGGTTCCCAGGTGTACAGTTTGGAACCGAACAGGCAATCCAGTATTTCTATTTTGAAAAACAATTTATAAAGTCTAATTGAATCAATCGAACTGTCTCCAGCATGTGCTCAACCTGATGGAATGTCCAGTGTGATGTAATGTCAAATGGGTCCAGTATTTTTGTTGAAAACATCGGGCAAGACTAGCTCTAGGCTTAGCTGGGGCCAAATGTGTCTGAACAAGGGAATTCAAGCTCACACAGAGGACAGGAAAATAATGACATCCTTACTCCTGGATTCGCTTGACCATCCTGTTAATGTGGATGACCTAGAGCATTGGACTCTAACCATTTTTCAAGGGGACTCTCAGTATCAAGGCAATGATTTCACATTCAACCCTCCACTTTCTGTTGGTGTTGTGAAATAGCCAAGCAAAACACCACAAGTGAGTTTTAGTAAGGGGAATACAATGGCACTGTGGCAGCAGGCCCACTAACACAGCTGGGTCTGGACCCTCGCCTCCTATCAAGGCTTGGTATTGTGGACAGTGGCCTGGTGAGGTGCTGGGAAGAGAAGGGGTGGGAGGTGATCGGCAGTGGGTGCTGGGCAGTGATGGGGCAGTGGGGAAGGTTTGTTTTGGGATTTATTTTGTGATGCTGGGGAGTTTGGGGGGCCACTGGGCAGTGGGGAGATCTGTGTGTGTTAGGGGCTGTGCAGTGGGGGAGAGAGATCTACGTGTGTCAGGGCGCTGTGAAGCATGGGGGGTCTGTGAGGAGCACTGCAGTTGTGGTGGTGGGAATATGGGGGGGCACTGGACAGTTAAGGGATACGGAGGGGTGCGCTAGGCATAGCGGTCTGTGGGAAGGCACTAGGCATAGTGATTTGTGGGGGTCTCTGGGTGGTGTGGCACTGGGTGTAGGGAGTTAGAGGGGTGCTAGGTGGGGTAACAGAGTGTGGCATGGGCCTGCCCACAATAGGAAGAAGCATGATGGCATCAGCTCAGGGCCAGGAGGGCCACTGTGTGTCAGTTTGTAAGCAGTGCCCTTGTACTAGGCTGGGTGGAGCAGGGCTGAACCTGCAGTAACATGACACATTGCCCCTGGCCAGCCACTCACTCTGAGGCAGTGGTCACCAACCAGTAGATCTTGTAGCCTCTGTCAGGTAATATTGACTGGTTTGGCCAAGAGGATATCAAGTGCCAGCACTTCAGCTGCCCTTCCCCCCACTGCTGTGCATGTCCTGCACTTTGCCCTTGGAGCTGCTACTCCGCCTGTGAGTCTCCTGCTTTCTGTGCAGGGCAGGGGAGGAAAAAGAGGGGTGCTGATGTCAGGGTTCCCCATATGCCATTCTGTATCCTTTCTCCACAGGACCAGGGATGGAGTTTTCTTGCAGCTTTAGGGAGTGTTATAGGGCAAAGACATGGGTGAGCCTGCTTTAGCCCCACTCCACCACCATCCAGGAGTCACCAGCAGTGCCAAAATGGAGCACACATCCCTAACTCCTACCCCAGGTATGAACCCAGTCCTGCATCCAAGCCCTTATCCTAGCTCTGAGCACCCCTGCATCCAAATACCCTCCCAAAGCCTGCACCTAGAACACCATCCTAAATGCATGCCCCAAGAGTCGCTCAGAGCCCTTCTCACACTCCAGATCCCTTAAGCCAAGACCAGAGCCTGTGCACCCAACTCTCTGTCCCAGGCTGATGAAAGAGACTGAGGATGGGCAAGAGAGGGAGGATAGAGGGTGCAGGGTCTGCACCTTGGAGAAGGAGTAGGAAGGAAGCGGAAAAAGGGTATTTATATATGAGGTACATATTGGATTGCACTTTCAAAACTTTGGAGCCCCCTGCTCTGAGGTCTCTGACCCACATCCCCATTGCCCCTGTGAGGAATCACAAAAGGTTCACTTGGCCATGTTTGGGGCTCAGGATCTGGGACGGAGTTTGGGTGCAGCAGGGATGCATGCTAGGGGGAGTTTGGGGGACGGGTGCGGGCTCTATCCTGGGTCAGGGGATTGCAGTACAGGAGAGGGTGTGGATGGGAGGGTCTTTAGCTCTGGGAGGGACTTTAGCACATCAGCACAGTACACAAGAGAAAGGAGATGCAGTGACTTCAGATAGACATAGAAACGGAGAGAAGACTCTTAAATATTCCAAAAATGAGAAGCAGAGTTTGAGACAGGAACTATCTGTACAATATTTCACACTTGTATAAATACAGAGGAATATTTCACACTTGTATACATACTGGCTGTGTCTAGATTGGCCACTTTTTCTGGAAAAGCAGGTGATTTTCCGGAAAAACTTGCCAGCTGTCTACACTGGCCGCGTGAATTTCCGCAAAAAGCACTGACAATCTCCTGTAAGATTGTCAGTGTTTTTGCGGAAATACTACGCTGCTCCCGTTTGGGCAAAAGTCTTTTTCCGAAAAACGTTTGTGTAAAGGGGCCAGTGTAGACAGCAGAGATTTGTTTTCTGAAAAAAAGCCCCGATCGCGAAAATGGCGATCGGGGCTTTTTTGCGGAAAAGCGCGTCTAGATTAGCCACGGACGCTTTTCCGCAAAAAGTGCTTTTGTGGAAAAGTGTCCGTGCCCATCTAGACTCTGTGTTCCGAAAATGCTGAACTGCAGTGTCTAAGCACTGACCGTCTAGGAATTGAGAGGCCTGTGCCTTTAAGAACTCACGCGCATGCTCAGTGCAGCCAAAGTCGCAAATCTGGGGGCTGGGGGCCGCTCCCGCACTGGCGCTCAGGGATCCCCTGGGCTGCAGGCAGCGCAGCGCGCAAGGCACGCCGGGAAAGCGCCGCGCTCCGCCCGAAGCTGCTGGGGCTTAGCGCCGGCCGTCTCGCGCCAAGGAAGCACTTCGCACATGCGCGACGGGGAAGAGAGAGAGAGAGAGAGAGAGAGAGAGGAGTCGTGCGCATGCGTCCTGAGGTCCAACACTCAGGAGCCGACGAGGAGGAACGAGTGGGGAGGGGGGCTGCAAGCGCATGCGCGTTGGCGGGGCGGGGCGGAGTTTATTATCGCGAGAGGGTGGGCGGTGCCTCGCTGGGACCGGAGCCGAATTTGAACGAGGCGAGGGGAGCCGGGACACGCTGGCGGGCGCCGGC